ACTCCTCTTCATTGTTGACTCCTCTTCATTGTTGACTCCTCTTCATTGTTGACTCCTCTTCATTGTTGACTCCTCTTCATTGTTGACTCCTCTTCATTGTTGACTCCTCTTCATTGTTGACTCCTCTTCATCCTGAGTAAGATGGTCTTTGCGCTGTCATGCTCTACGACAAAGTAAGAAGCGCGCAATCGATGTCCGCCGTGATGCCCTCGTCAAATTCTCTCCCACGACCATAGTGTCCTTGATGTTTTGGACACTTGTTGAGGACCAAGCAGACTGCGACGCAGGGCGCTGCTTGAGCCCTTCCAGTGCTGTGGCTAGCCGTTTAATAGCTATGGGCATATATTCCCGTTTGCCGGTGTAGACCAACCTGAAGCAGCCCGGGACGGTCGATAGAGAGAGCTATGTGGGTGTTGGTCATTCTTATCGCAATCTTGGTTGAGTCTTGTGGAATGACCTACCTCTCCAGGACTGAGAAAGACGCCTGCCTCATGCAAGAGATATCGACAGAGTCTCACCTCGCGGCTCCCGCCGAGTCCAGCCGAGTCCTCCCCGTGATCCAACCAAGCCGCCAACTTGATGAAGATGAACACCCCACTGTTGGCCGGGACGAAAGGAATCCCGTTCTCCTTCAAGAGCTGCGTAGTCACCCTATACTGCGCCTCGAGTCGCTCCCGGTACGTCTTCAGGTATCTCCCGACGGCTTGCTCGTCAACCAAGAAGTGTGTGAAGAACGCAGTCGAGAAGCTCGAGACCCATGTGAAAAGCACTAACCGCCTCAGAGAACGCCAAAGTAGCTCGTTCCGTGTCACGAGAAACCCGAGCCGCAGACCACCGCAGCCAAAGTCTTTGCTTGCGCCGTACATGCAGTGGATATTCTCGGCGAGCACACCGCGCGGTGGATCATCCTGTATGCTCAGCACGGAGGTGAATGGGGGAAGAGCCTGTCCGTCTGTGTCTGTCGTTGCGGTAAAGGTCGACATGGCGTAGATCTCGTCGGATAATAAGTGCATCTTCTTTTGCCCGCAGAATCTCGCAATCTCGACAAGGGTAGTGCGTGGGTAGGTCCGGCCGCAGGGGTTGCTCGGGTTGCAGAGGAGTAGGGCCTTGGGGACAATACCGTCCTCCAGAGCTGCGGCGTGTACTCTGGACATTGCTTCGATGAGCAGAGGGGCAGACTGCTCGTCAAACTGGCTCTCGATGGACTCGGGGTTGACCTTGATCAGGCTGACGCCTGCTCTGGCACACAGATCGTGTGGAAACATCATGTATGTTGGAGTGATGACCATGATACCTTCGCCTGGATCGCACATTCCGAATGCCATCATGTCTATAAGTGAGGTTACGCCGTTGGTCACCAGAATATCATCGAATATGACTGAGCGCGCAGGCTCGAAATAGCGATTTATGAAGCCACTCATTGCCTTGGCTAGCTCTATCAACTTGTTGTCAGTAACATTGTAAGAGACATGGAAGATACTTGGTACTACCTTTCGGTCCCATAACATCACCGTATCGAGTTGCTGTAGGATCATGTCAGTACAAGCTATTAATCAAAGTACGAGCTACTTGTGCCTTTTACAAAGTCATAAGCCTTGGAAAATTGGTTCATTTCTTCCGCCAGCACATCGTCCATGAGGCCATTGATGGCGCCGGAGAGGTCAATGATTCCATCAGAACACGTAGCTGGGTCGTATTGTGGGAGTTTGCTGGCTTCATTCTCTAAGTCGATGAAGCCCCCGGACTCCAAGTTCGCCAAGGCTCGCGAGGATGGTTTGACAACGTACTTTCCGGATGCCATGTCTTGAGAAACCTTGATTCATTGATGTGAGGGCGATCCAAAGTAGAAGCCTAAACCCCGCCCGAAGCTGACGTCGGATAAGATACGGTGCCCCCGACCTGATTCGGCATGATGAGATAGCCGAAATCTTGATCCTGGCACTCTACCTTGATTCGTCTCCATAGTCGAATAGTCTCCTGGCCCGTGAAAGCAAGTGCCCATGTATCAGATTATCACGACAAACTCACGTTGGTACAGCAATCCCATGAAGCTAAATTCAGAGACCAACCCGATCATCGAGGAAGAGGTTTACTCTCCAGGATGCAGTTCTCCCACGCGGTCACTTTTTCCTATCAGCCCAAGTCGCAAGGAACCTCAGACGCCGTCAATCATGAAGGAGCTGATCTACGTTTTCAGCATTCCACTCATCGGATCTGGACCCTTTCCCGCTGCCGTTCCGGCCTCATTCCAAAGAACCACGGCATGGTGCGCGTGCCGCCTAATAATGACGCGCAGTCTTTTTGTATGGCTTGCAAGGGAAGACCCCTTTCATTTAATTCTCCAGCTTTTACGCGCAATCCAAGATTTCAGGAACAACCCGGATCCTTGGATCCAAAAGATGCCGACGGCAGCACAGGCGCAACCGACCGTTGGTGATCAAGCTCATGGCTGGAATGTTTCTTTACGCCATCTGGACCCGGTTGTCTGATCTCGTTCATTGGCGGCGCACAGGGTTCAGCTGAGCCGTGGGCAGCAGAGACACGATGTCTCTGTGTAATCAGAACGGAAACACCACCAATTTTCGTGGGAAATGACTTCATCGCCGTTGCGTTCTTGTTTCATGACACAGAATTAGAGCCTGGTCTTCTTAAATTTAGCTGTAGACTTTGAACCACAAAGACGGGAGTGGGCTGGCTAAGGTACGCATGTAAAGCCATGTCCGAGGAGAATTACAGCGGTTACAGGCCTTGAGCCCGCTGGGCGACCGCTAAGGATCAGGGGATCCCTGGCGCTAAACCAGCAAAAACTCCACCCTAGATCGCGCCACGATCCTTAGGCTGTCACTGGACCTAAATCTTCATCAATAACCACTGGCCCAGATCGTCTAGTTGGTTAGGATGATACGTTGTGGTTCTTCTATACAGCGATCCGTGTTGACGGCGGTTCGAATCCGCCTCTGGGCAGTAAACTTTTGCTTTTGCCATAGATCATTCTCATAAATCCTTAAGTGATGTTTTTCTTGACCACTTGATGCTTACTATTTATTCACGTTTGATTTGGGATGGTATCATTCCCGCGTATGTATCCAAGCTTTTCGAAACTCTGTCTCATGGACGAATCAGGACGGATCGAACATTCCCGCTGCCCTTGACAGTGATCATCTCCCCATCGACATGGAATGAACTCACTTCATTCTCTTCAGGCGACAAGTCTGGCCAGTCCCTCCAGAGCTCGCACAAAGCATATCTCGTAAAGTCATTGCGTCTAACGAGCTCCACGACCCTGAGAGCCTGTTCCTCATCTCCCACCTCGAATAGTAAGACTCGCGTGCGTAGCCGGCTTCCAATGTCGAGCAATCTGGCGTAAAAGACGTCGGCATGATCACACCCTTCGTACATGGGCACCGTCTCCCCCGGCACGAGCGCGAGCTTCGGCTCGTACTTTCGCACAGAGTAGCCCATCTGGCCGCGGCCATAGGTCCAAACCTTGGGTGATATGTACGGCGGGTTTGATACCAGCACATCGCATCGTTGAAGCGACTGCATATCAGCCTCCTGAAAGACGTTTGCTTTTCGGAAAGTCACCTCCTTGTCGGGAGGCGGCGGCATTAGTGACTTCATGGCCACATTGCGCCGCAAGTTTTCTCGCGAGAGGTTGACGGCGATGGGCGAGATATCGACGCCTGTGACGCTGAGCTTCTTGGCCCAGCGTGTAAGGCGCTCGTACAGCGCGAGCGCGATACACCCAGTGCCCGTACAAAAGTCCACGACCCGCAGCTCTCTGCTCTCGAAACCCGGCAGTTGGCCAAGCGAGATCATGTCGGCTAGATGTAGCGCGTACGCCTCCGTCTCGGCGCGCGGGGCGAGCACGCCGGGCCGGCACTTGATGTCGAGTGCTCCGAAGGGCTGGGAGCCAAGGACGTACTGCAGCGGCACGCCGCGGCCGCGTTTCGCACAGAGATGTGCGACGCGGGCTTCTTGCTCATCTTGGCTGGGCAGAAGCGCCTTTGATGACGACTGTCTACCACTGCTCGCGACGTGCGACCTGATCCAGCGGAGCTCGGTCACCGCGGAGGACACATCGCGGCACGCCGGCAGGAGGACGGCGGCATGGGGTGAGACGGCGTGAGCGCGGCGGAAGAGGCAGGGCGGTAGGCGAGGCATCTACCGCGGTGCGTGCACTCTTACTTTCTGTGTGTTTCTCTCTCCGGACGCTGACTCACTGCATTGCGCGTCATGAGGAGAAAGGATGACTAGATGGCGTGAGGGAATTTGTGGATGAGGTGAAGTTTATGGGAGGGAGACGAAAGGGTAAAACAGGTGTGACGTGAAAGTTTGGGGAGAGCTTGGGAGCTTGGAGCTTGGGCCACACCTAGCCATATACACCGAGGCCGAGCTTATTGAAGCCATCGTCGGTGCATTGGAGGTCTGAATAACGGAACAAAAGACTGTCTGTCTGATGGAACGTGTTCAGAGTTCCGGAAATTCAGATCTATACAGTATGTGTAGGAAGCCAGTGTCTTTTTCCACTCGTGTCAGTGGACAGAGTAAACAGAAACCGACTTTCTCCCGTGCCTCACTTGAACTAACATGGTGCTCAACCATGGAGGCCCTAAATTCTGCAGTCACGCGGGATTCCTGGATAGCCTCACACTCTCTATCGGTTCCGTCAAGGTTGTATAATCGTATCCTCAGGGTTCACTAATGGCTACCTTGGCCTACAAACCAGGCATAGCTTCCACTTTCTTTTCTTCAGGTTGACATGCTCCAGGAAAGCACCTAGTTTTCTACAATCCATCCTATTTTCCTCCTTTTATCCAACAACTACTCCATCAAACTCTTGCTATCAGGTCACCAAATCACACTTCTCCAGAGCAAATCACACAATATCTCAGCTCCAAACAAACAATCACTCAACTCCCAGAAAAAACAAAACAGCCAAAAAACCAAAAACCCCAACTCACAACCAAACTCCTCCGACAAAATGCAAATCAGACTCCGCCACCTCCTCCTCCTCCTCGCAGTCCTCCTCTGCCTCGTCGACCACGCCGACGCAAACCGCTCCTACTACACCTGGTTCCGCAGAAGGTGCTGCAACCAACCGGAGCGGAAAATGTGCAGAGAGGCACTCGTCCGCTGGAGGTATTGCAACGACGCTGCCCGCAGGGGCGGTCTGCCGCCCGTACTGTGCATCGTGACCAAGTGGTGGTGGGAAAGAGCCCACCAGGCGTGCCGGCCCGGCATCGAGGGCCCTTCGGACTGGGTTGATCCCGATAAGCCTGTTCTCCCCAAGACCGAATATTAGAAGTTGAAAACATCCATCTTTTTTTGTTCTGGGGGGAGGGGAGGGGGATTGTCCGAGAATACGACAATGGAATCAACCGTGTCACTCTATTCGGTTCCGTCGCGATGGAAATCGAGATTGGGGGGTTTCTCGACCGAGCAAGCTGGGAGGGTGTTGGTATCGCATATGGGCTAGAGACATCGCCTTGTAGTATCCGAAGTTAAGGGATAGAGCCATCCCGAGATGCTGTTTTTAGCTGCGGTATTTCGACTCTCACTCTCTGTCAGAATACATTGAGTTTTTGTACCTAGCCTATTAGTACGGATCAGTCAGTTTTCATCTAAGTTGTTAGTCCAAGGGAGTCGAGTGATATTATGTGACATAAACATTATAGAGACGTGAATGATAATGGGTAATCAGGGCGGGCGACCCATAAGGTAACAAATCATAAGGGCTCTCTTTTTGTTCCGAAAATAACGAGTGGGTAATCGCGACTAAATCTCAAGGTCGTACAATACTGTTACAATGTCTCAAACCCCTGAAAGGTGATTGAGATATCATCCCATCCGTAAAACTCCCCAAATCCGAATCGGTGAAATAAGTAACGTCGAATAAGAAACTTCACACCTCCGTAACCGTGATATTCATGACGTTGTTCTTGTAATCCTTGATGAAACTCTCGTAACGTGGATAAACCTCCTCGTCGTCGACCCGAAGACGTTCTTTTTGGCCTTCGTTCTCTTCCTCCTTTTCGTCTTCTTCGTCGCCAACTTCTTGCTCCTCCTTCTCGACGACGTCGATATCCTCCTCTTCCTCTACTTTAGTCTCGTCCCCTTCCTCATCGCCATCCGAATAGTCGTCCCAGAAATTGCCGTCCTCAAAGTAGTAGTCCGCCCACTCGCCGTAGACCTCCGGCTCAGACTGCTGCTGCTGCTGCTGCTGCTGCTGCTGTTGTTGTTGTTGCTGCTGTCCCCCTTCGACATCCTCTTCCGGCCGCTCCTCTGGTAGCCACGACTGGAATCTCGATATCGGGGCCCCTGTATTGAGGATTGTATCTTTGGAAGAGCGCCATGAGTACTTCCGCGGCACCGGCTCAGGGCTTATGTTCATCTGGTGAACAATGTGGTCTGACGGCGGAGGCGTCATCGGTTCGGACGTCGCCCGCAGACGAGGGTCCGTGAACGGTGTAGCAGGCCGGTCTTTCACTGGCGTCAGAAGGGGAGGCGAGTATGAACCGACAGACTCGTCCCCGACTACAGTGGGTGACAGCGCTTCGGAAGATGAGCGGACAGTAACTCGTTGAGGGCACGGCGAGTCGATGTCCCTTGACGACGAGAAGAGAGACTCGATGCTGTCATCGGACCAGCGAGATGTATTTGCCTTGGGCGTGTGAAAGCTTAGCCGTGATTGACTGCGGGACAGAGTCGGTGGTGGAGAGAGGGGGGCAACACCGACGGCCATTGTAAGACCGCATCGGGGCTTTTCTTCGACGCCCCCTGCGTCGCTTACACTGGGTGTGCTGATGTGGTATGATCGTCGTGATGCCATCGTCGACTTGGTTGAGCTTCTGCCCACTTCCACAACCTTGGCCGGGCCGGAGGAATTTGTCCTCGCAAGACGAGCTTCCTCCAAGTGCACACTTTCGACCCTTACGCTCCGCAGGTACCTGCGGTCCTCGGCCTCCTGCTCGTCCGGGTACGGCCACATCTTGAGGCCCGTCTTGACGCCTCCCCTCTTGTGTTCCTCTTGTCTCTGCAGAGACATCAGGAATTCCATGCACTGTTCGTCATTCGGAATGGCCCGTCTTGATATCGGTCGCTCCGGCCTGTCAGGCGTGTGTATAATTCGAAATGACGAGTCCTCGTCGAGAAGCTTCGGCGGTAGCGTTCTAGGTGATTTGGGTGATAGAGGGAATCTCGGCGATTTGGGTGAAAGTGGAAACCTTGGCGACTTTGGGGACTTGGGTGACTTTGGTGATTTAGGAGACGTCATGAGGTTCTTGATCTTGAGGCCTTTCAGGTACGGCGACAATTGCGTGGTCCAAGTCGATTTCCTTCCATGATCATTCATGTTGACTGTTTGCGGGATTGTCCATGAGGAAGGCAATGCCGGCGGGGCCGGGTGTTTAATGTCCATGGCTCCTAAAGAGGCTTCCATGAAAACCACTCCTCTTGACAAGCATCCGAAGTAGGGGAAGAAAAACCTGGATGGCGAGAGTTCAAGCTGCTTATGCACCGTCGAGGGAAACTCTTTGTAAAGGCTGCAGGCGAAAGCCCATCATGGTGGTCCGGTCGCTGGCAGACAAAGAATGCTTAGTTGGATAGCTTCTCATTTCAGCCAAAGACACTGAGGAATGTGGCCGGCCCCAAAAGAGTTTACCACCACATTCCTTTGTTCCGGGCGATGATCCCCGACATAAGCCGACGCGCTGGGGAAAAAAATAAACGCCAAAGTATGAATAAACCCCCGCGTGGTTTGAACTTATCATGGATGTTCTCCCTCGCAGGATTTGAGACACTGCCCCACCATGAGTTCAGACTATAGCCCAACCGTGACAGTCATGTTATTACTCAGGACCAACATGACGGGAGGGAGCTCGTGGCAGAGGACTTCAACGTCCGATAGATACTGCACGCTCGCCAGCTCATCCTGGCAAGTCCCCTCCGTGGGCACGGGCAACGTGGTGAACATGACGGCTGTATCTTCGCTGTTTTGTCGCATCAGCTCATTGAGGATGACATGCTGCGCCCGCGATGGCAAATCGTTGAACGAGAGCGAGATGCCTTGCGTCGAGTAGGGCGAGCCGGGCCCGTCTGCGTCGGGTCTCGAATCTAATCTATAGCGTCCCACAAGCTCCGCCATGTTCATGTGGACGTCGCCTAGATCTGCAGTAAACGCGACCGAAGCTTTGCGTGATCTGCACGAAGGTTCCGCAAACGTACTATTCGGCTCGAACTCTTCAGCCGCCGTCACCGTCATCTCGGGCACTGGCCGACTGGAGAACCGTCCCGCAGAGGACTGTCTTGAGAATGCGGGTTGTTCCGCCCGCGGCGTCTCTTCCTCGGTGGTGTCTGCAAACATGATTGTCGGACCAGACGCACCCTCCACATCGGTTCTGGTCTCCGGCATTGGACGACTTGAGAATCGCACTGCTGACGATTGTCGAGAGAGCGTTGGTCTTGCTGCTGGGGTTGCTTTCCCTGATACACTTCCCGAGGTCGCATCGTAAGTGTTGATGCCCGCCGACCGGAATCCGCCCATGGAACGAGCAGATATGTTTCGATCAAGGGCAGGTCGTTCCAGCGGAGTTGGAGGCGCTGACACGTTTTCGACTCTTCCCACGTGGCTTGGGCCTGCCTGACCTTCAGAACGAGCTTGTGACACCATCGTGCCGTATGATGCTGCCGGTGCAGCGCTCTTATTCGATTTGCTCCTTTTCTGTTTCGACGGACTCGTGAGTAAATCGTCGCTCTGGCTTCGACCTCGTCCTCGCCCAAGTAATAACGGCCGCCTAGGAGCGTCGACCTCTGGCATCTCGTCCTCGCTGTAGTCACTGCTGCCAGGTTCAAATTCAGAATCGGAATCAAGGCAAGATGGCTGTTGTTCTTGATCACTCATCTCACCGTCGGAGCCAGAGGCGTCTTCAAAGACCTCATCTCCCAAGTGAGACGTGTGAATTCCAACGCTGACGCCAAGGCGGGACAACCTCGAAACCGTCGGCTTCTTGGGCAGTTCCCCAAAGTGCACCAAACTCGGTCGCCGCCCACTCTCAATATCGTCCAGTGATACATGCGGGTTGAACACGCCAGGCCGCCCTGCCGTTGACTCGATGATATTCGCGAAAGACGTGAGCTCTTCGGTTGAGTTCAGGTTTGGCTCACGGCCTCGGAACCTCTGCAGGTCGTCCCACCACTCTTCATCCTTTAGTATGTCGTGGACCATAATCTGAGACTCGAGATCGTTGCTTTGGCCGTTGATAATCAACTCATACGTATTGAGCTGTCCGGAAGCCAGCCAAAACACGATGACCTCGGCCTCGATCCTTAGCTTGTCTAGCAGGGCCTTGACTCGCGCCCTTTCTTCTTCCACTTCACTTTCGTACTCCACAAACACCATGACGCGAATATTGTAGACTTTATGCCATGTTGGAACGCTGTAGAGGATATAGCCTAGCTGGAGAATCAAGGTGTCTGCAGATGTATTAGCGAATTTCGGGTTGAAACAACAACTCTGCTCACATGTGTCGAAGTTGGTTGTCAAGACACTTTTCCCATCTGACAGAACTTCTGCTGACATTTGTATCGGCCAGAGATCGAGATGTTTCTTGATGTTGGCCTTGTCTTTGCGCGGCGTTTCCAGATTTTCAAAGCCTTTGCCAATTGCGACGTTGAGTTTGTACCTCAGAGCGAGATCCTCCAACATAGTCATGTAACTGGTCACACTCATCATGCCTTCCGTCTTCATCACATCTGTAGGCAGCATGCCTTCCATCAGACGCGCTGACGTGTCGCCCCGTCTCCTGCGATGAGGCCTCTCTTTGGCTTTGGCCTGAGGGCGGGCGTTCGCATTCGACGAGCTTGGAGCTTTCGGAACCTGAAAAGAAGGTCGAGATTCTCTTAGCTCGTCCATGTTGTAAAATCCCATGACGGCAATATTTGGCCGCATACCCCCTAGCCCAGCCGACAGAATCAAGTTCCGGATACCCCAGGTAATGGTTGGGGACATTGTAAGCTGCACGAAGGCCTTGATACGGGAGAACTCCGAGATGTACTTTGTCCAAGCCGCCTGCTGAAGTCTGGCTTCGTGAACGCCGCTGGTGAAATCGTCCGTTACAATAACGTGACCAAGGATATAGAGACCGCCTTTCTTTACGGAGTTGCAGAATTGAATCAGTCGAGTTTGGCTCCTAGGATTGTTGATGAGTAGAATGATTTGAGGCCTCCAAAACTTGATATGCTCGGGCCGTAATCGCAGCAAGTACTTTCTCACTTGGTGGTAGATGAGATTTTGGGAGACGTCACCCCATCGCTTCGGTGGACTGAGATAGTGAATCAGGGAAAAGAGAAAGATGAGCAAGCAGACTGCAGTAGCCGCGTAAGTCTGGTCGATGAAGAACATGGCCGCTGCAGACATGATGCTGCCAGCGAAAGCCGTCTCCCAATTGAAAAACTTGAATGCAGGCCGAAAGTTGGGAGCTGATCCTATCTTGAGTAGGAAACATGCCAGATTCATGACGAAGAAGGTCATCTGCTCTCTGTCAGTCCAAGACAGCTTCGTCTACAATGAGTACGCGGGTTCTCACCTGATAACCCATGGAAATCAAAGTCGCAATCTGGTTCAAGTTGGCGAACATGGCGATTTGGGCAAGCAAATAAGTGAGAATGATGGCTTGGATTGGTTCATCAGCCCTCTTCGTTCCTTTCGAGAATGGCAGCAGACCGGGCAGCAGCTTGTCCCTAGCCAGGGCTTGCATGAGCTTGGCAGCACCAATGAGTCCCATCACGGCAGAGAAGAAGGTGACGGCACATTCTCCTGCAAGGATCAAAGGCGGGGACAAGCTCGTGACCGAGATAATGTTTGTGTTGTTGAGAAATGAAGCATGCGTTGTGGTAGAAGCCATGGAGAAGACTACAACCAGGTACGCAATGAAGGTGGTCATCATCGCCCAGAGAGTCCCTTTCGGGATGTCTTTGCTGGGATTTGCCAGATCTCCAGACATTGAAGCCCCTGCGAAGATTCCTGACGTGGCAGGGAACAGGATGGCAAAGACTTCTCGAAAAGTTTCAAATCCCTTGAAAGACTCGCTTTTTGTATGAGGAGCAAAGTTGTCCACCAACGTCTCGATACTAAAGCCCGTGAAGCGTACACCAAGTCCATCATCTCGAAAGGGAGACTTAAATGCGGAAGATATCGGAATGCTTATAATGGCGAGACTCAATATGACAAGCAGCGCATTGCTAGCCTTGGCAAATATGCCGCTCCCGGCCAAGCATAATCCAGCACAGAGCAGCAAAGCCAATGTTTGGAGCATGTAGACGGTCCAGTAGCCTTGGGGAAAAGATTCCCCGACGTTCAGCTTTATGCAGTCAATGAGACCAACAACATTGAGAGCGGTGTTGAGAACCTGAGCGAGATAGAAGAGCATCCCGATGGAACCGCCAAATTCGGGGCCAAGAGACCTCGAGATTACGTAGTAGGCGCCTCCGCCCTTGACTTCGCCATTTGAAGCTATAGCAGACAGAGAGAGCGTTGTCAAGAAGTCTACAAGATAAGCCGTAACGAGTAGTCCTGTGGTTTTATGTTAGTGTGAGCTGAGACGGAGTGAGCGCGTCTGTGTTAGTGGCTGACGAACCAAGCATGCCCAAAAGCCCAACTTGGCCGAGAATCCAGCCAAAACGAAGAAACATGAGAATGCTGAAGATGTTGAGACAGACGGGGATATAGACCCCCGAAACCGCACCCAACTTGGCCTTGGTACTGGTCTGCTCCATGCTGGAGAGACTCGGTCGTCTGTCGTCGCCGCCCATGGTGAAGGTCGGAAAAGGGGGTCAGTCGTAGTCAACAGGTCGACCCGTAACTCTTCCCGGAAAAGGGGACGGGGGGGTGCGCCACCTCCACGATCGTTTTCCTTGGGGCCGAACTACAGTGAAGAGCCGACACGACAAAGATTCGACGAACTTCAGTGACGGAGATGGGATGGTTGTCGTCGGTCAACAACAACCTAACGGTGTGGGAGCGCAGCGCATAGGTATATAAGTTTGAGTCCCCGCCCTTAATCGCACCAGTGTGTAATGTTGGACTGGGCTGGCTAATCAACCCCCCAGTGCGTCCAAGTGTAGTTGAACGATGGCTTGCGGCGCGGCGGCAGTGATCACGGCGACCAGTAAGAGAATGGCCTGGCTAGGACGGCGGGCCGCACAGGCATTCAACTGGCCCGGCGCATGTCTCGCGTCTTTCTCGTCGTCTCGTTTTCAGGGTTCACCGTTCTGCGAGCCAGGGATATCTGGGGCGATCCAATGCAAGCCTTTCCAATACCCCGCGTGCCGATTGGAAAGCTGCGATATGCTCCAGCCGGTCGCGCCGTGTTTGTTAGTGGTCCACTCACACAACCAAGCACCAACGTCTGGGAAATGCAGTGAGATGCAGAAACAGAGGCCGAAGTAGGAAGACGAAACGACGTCATCCAGCAGCGATGGACAGATCGGACCGGTCAGTCGCCAATGCGTGACAAGCGGTCACTGTGGTGGCCTTGTGGGTTGTGCAGAGCTGTTTTCTCGTGTCCAAGGATCTGTAAGGAGGGGTAGGAGGAGGGTATCCTGCAGAATCGAGATGCGATTTCTTTGGAATCCCCTAAGATATCCGTAGTGTAATGTAGCTGTATGCATGTAGGTACTGTGCAGCACCTCGATGTTGTCGGTTGGGGGTGCGTCGTCCGGTTTGCCCAATCCCCCACGAGCCTTGAGAGAGCTTCCATGCCACAGATAGATAGGTGTGATAGGCTGACGGGCATGGCATCACAGGCCAACGAGAATAGCGTCAAGTGTCAAATGCCTGGCATCTGCCAGCGATCTGGCCCGACATTCCATCTGATGCTGGCGTGGCAGGGTTCGTCCTCCAAAATAGAAAACCAGAGACCAGTCGGTTGACTCAGGCGCATGACAGCGGTAAGCCGGAGATTTCAATGGGATGGGCCGGATTGGCCGCTTGTACCGCGAAATTTGAACGAGTACCTAGTCACCAGTGTGGCTTTGCCACTTGTCAGCCAGCAGCATGGGAGTGTCAGTGTGGGAGTGTCGAGTGTCTCTGCTCCATGACTCGATGATGGGGTTTCAATGCCGGAGGTGAAGGGTTGGTGAAGTGAACCTGAGGGCGAAGAGTGCAGGCGCACGGGATGCGAAATCAGCGATGCACCACACCCAGACATCAGGTACCGCTACATGCGCCGGCTCACTCGAGTCCTGAGGTGAGGTGCTGTTCACCTCACAGTTCTGGCCAAGGAAGGGAGATGGGAGGTGGAGAGCCGCTGAAGAGCATCCGCCGCGGGGCTCCTGGAAATCATGTTCACACGCAGCCCGCGCCAGGATCCATGAGCGCGCTAGCCCCCCACTCTCTCTCTCCCACTTCACCGTGCCACCGTCAGAGCAAGAGAACAAGTGAGGCGGGAGGTGCATGCAGCCAATGACATCTCTTCGCTTATTGTGGCGGTCGAGCTGTGCCTTACCTAAGCTGGTAAGATCCGATGGGAACCTTGGTTTTTTGGTAGTGTGCGCTGGCAGCAAGACGAAATACTCGGCTCATTTGTAGTAAAAACCTGTGAGTCGTATCCATGATGAAGCGTTTGAGAAGTCTCGAAAGGATCGGAGGATGGCCGATCATGGAAAGAAAGACACATATCCCAGAGATTTTTGCTGCGCTATTTTGCGGCGCTGAATCAGACATGCGACTGACGGTCAATACGAGCCGGTCCGATGGCCAGAAGCAGAGGTCCCGGCGTAGGTAGTAGGTACAGTCGAATCTGCGGTTCCCAGTCAAAGAGTTCAACATATTACATAAGAAAAAGTTAGAGACGACAGCAGAAGTAGAGGTGATGTGACGGAGGCATGAATAAGACGAGGAATAATGGTTGGAATGACCCGAGCATATTGTTGTTGAATCCGTAGGGAAGTCGAGATAAGTACCGCTGCAGCAATGTAGATAAGTAGATAATGCATTTGCATTTCATTGTTGGTGGCTGGAGCTTACCTTACCACCTGTGACATGGAGCAGCACAGCGATGTGATGATTCAAGAGTACCGTTACCAATGGAAGCATTGGAACCTGGGAGACCTCGCAAACCATGTCTGAGACAAGACCTCACTTGGAGGTTGGGGCAGCGTAGAGCGGCTAACACAAGCACAACATTGACTTCCAGGTTCAGTACGAACGAAGCATGGTCAGCATGCCCGGCGGATGGAGCGAGGAACCCGAGAGAGAGCTCCTGGGTGCTACCTTAGGCTGTCGGTTGTCATAGCCCGACGGGTTTCGGCAGCGCAGCCACAGCACCCGACACCTCCCAGGTCTTGCTACAGCCTATGGGCCTACAGGGCAGGGCAGGGCAGGCTGCCAGGTAGCGCTACCTACCCGACGCTATCTGTGTGAGCCACAGACTCTCCAGACCTGCCAGATTAGGTCACCCGACCCGCATGGGAGCGGCGTCCTTATCACGGGTTCCCAGTAGCAACAGCTTCGAACGCACATCCCCCCAAGCCGTGCGCTGCAATTGATCTCGTCAGCTGTCTTACAACTGAGTCCAGGTAAACTCTCCCCATACTTGAATCGAACCTACGTCTTCTCCATCATCTAGCTCTCCTTCTCTTCCCGGTTCCGTCTCATCTTCTCCCGCCCATGACACCTCGCTAACTTTGTTGTCTGTTGTTGATCCAGTTCGGAATCTGCTACGCTGTGGTAGGAGGCTCCTCGATATACCGAATACCGGCATTCGACAGTCCGCGACCGGTTTCACTAGGCACCATCATGGCATCTCCTTCGAGAGATCCCCTCAGCATTCCCAGGGCCGACTCCCCGTCCCGACAATTCGGCTCTCTACCTCGAGCAGACGCCACCGCTCGCCTGGCATCGCCCGTACCCTCGCAGCAATATGGCACTCCCCAGACCGGCCGCTTCGTTGGGAGCTCAAGTAGGCTAGGCGACGCCAGCGAGACGGCAAGCCTCGCTCCTCTTGCTGGAGCTGCTCCTTCAAGCGTTCAAGGTCCCGGTGTCTCGGCTCTCGCCGCCGCCTTGTCCAACTCGCTGGGAACATCTCCACCGAGGCATGGCACACCACCGGTGCGCTCTGCCACTCCTCCAGCACGACCTCTCTCCCCTGCTGCTGCTGGCGCTCAGCTTTCGAGCACGCCGATGACGAACTATGGATCTTTCGACTCTCGTTCGCGAAATGCCGGTGCCGGTGCCTACGAGGACCCCGAGATTGTCAAGAGGCATTTGGTCCAGCCCACCGACGCTGCCTCTGAAGAGTCCAGCATGCGTGATGGTGTGAAGGGCAAGCAGACCGTGAACGCCGACGCCGAGACCGGACTGAACGAGGACGAGTTTTCGAGTTTGCAGCTCCAAGGCGGAGACGTGACTCGAGGCATTTACAAGTGGACCGAAGAGGCAGAAGCCCGCAACAAGATGCAGCGCAGCAAGAGTTTCAGCGTTTCGCGTCCGGATCCCGAGACTGATATTCTTGATATCAATACGATCAAAGTTCCCGGAGGTTTCCGTCGCAACTACCTCCGTAGAGCAGCAAGAAGCCCCTCCACGGCCAGAGATGGTGGTGAGCGCGGCGAGGCTAGCGAAGCTTCCCAGCCTCGGCTGCTGACGTCCAGCTTCCTCGAGTTCCTCTCAATCTATGGCCATTTCGCAGGTGAAGAGCTGGAGGAAGACGACGAGGCCCTACGACCCGGCGAATACTTCTCCTCGGGCGAGGACATGTACGAAAGCGACGACGAAAGCGATGACGACAGAGAGCCTATGGAAGACAGCGCGCTGTTGACACCGTCGCGCCACAGAAGGAGACGCAAGCAGCGTGGCGGCAGTGGAAAGAACAGCCCTATGAGCGCGGCGCTGCTTCTGCTCAAGTCATTCGTTGGCACGGGAGTTCTCTTCTTGCCTCGCGCTTATCTGAACGGTGGTATGGTCTTCAGCAACGCTGTCTTGCTTGGAGTTGCAGCGCTGAGCTACTACTGCTTCGTTCTCTTGGTCACGACTCGTCTCAAAGTCGACGGATCTTTTGGTGATCTTGGCGGCATTCTTTATGGCAAATGGATGAGGGCGACTATCCTCTCGTCTATCGTTATAAGTCAGATCGGGTTTGTGGCGGCGTACATGGTTTTTACGTCAGAAAACCTGCAAGCCGTTATTCTAGCAGTATCGGACTGCAAATCCAATATCGCTGTCAAGTGGTTGATCCTCTTGCAGGTGCTCGTCTTCCTGCCATTCTCCCTGTTGCGAGATATTGAAAAGCTGAGTTTCACTGCTCTTATCGCGGACGCCTTCATCCTACTTGGCCTGGCCTACCTGCTATACTACGACATCCTTACCTTGGCCACCAATGGTATTGCGGACATCATCCAGTTCAACCGCAACGACTGGACCTTGTTTATAGGCACGGCAATCTTTACGTTTGAAGGAATTGGCCTCATCATCCCCATTCAGGAGTCGATGAAGAACCCCAGCAAGTTCCCTCGTGTCATGTTGGCGGTCATGATCATCATCTCGGTCATCTTCATTGGCATGGGTGCCATCTCGTACGCCGCGTACGGATCCAAGACAGAGACTGTGGTGCTCCTCAACATGCCCCAGGACAACAAGGCTGTCAACAGTGTCCAGTTCCTTTACTCTATCGCCATTATGCTGTCAATTCCTCTGCAGCTTTTCCCCGCCATCAAGATTACCGAGAATGCGTTGTTCACCAAGAGCGGAAAGTATAACCCCTACATCAAGTGGCAGAAGAACCTCTACCGCTTTTTCTTTGTCATTCTTTGCGCAGTCATCGCATGGGGTGGTGCGGATGACCTAGACAAGTTCGTTGCCCTTGTCGGTAACTTTGCTTGCATTCCGCTTGTCTACATCTACCCGGTAAGTATAAGCATGCACATGAACCTGCCAATATAGAGTATGACCGCTAACCCTCAAATAGCCCCTGCTCCATTATAAAGCTGTTGCGAGAAACAGGCTCTGGAAGATTTCCGATATCATACTCTGCATCTTTGGATTCGTTGCTATGGCTTATACCACAACCTTGACTGTTTACAGCTGGGCTGGTGGCTCCGATGGTGCCAAACCTCCGGCATACTGCGACCGCAGGGGGAAGTAAATCGGCACAAAGTGCCTGAGGGAAACGCATGCGACTGCATTTTTTAATTGTCATTTAGTGCTGTCTGAAAAGCGTTGGGTAATCATTGCATGGATTCCAGCGGGTTCTTCAAAGGTTTTGGACAGCATCGGTCGGTCGTCAATGAGTATGGGCTTGTACATAGACTGAAGAACAAGAGGCTCATCGCCACGTTTATAGTTCTGTATGTGTATACGTAGCAGCGGTTTCGAATCAACTTATCCTTCAATTACTTTTGAAAAGCATCCGAGGACATAGAGACCGTGAAGTTGAAAATCTCTCATGTCCCAACGAATTTGAATCCAACCCATTGAGATGAAATGAAAACGAAGTAAGACGCAGAAGGTCAACGCAATACTTTACCTTATGCACCGCCACAATTTTATAGATGTGGCGCAGCTTGACTTTTCGAGGACCCACCACTCCTCTAGCCCATCCTTACTGTGAAGGAGCCCGAGCTTTACCACGTCCAACTCACTCGCCAGCATCTCTCATACCCAGAGTGTGCTCTCAAATTCCATCGCATTACCAACCCAAAAGGTAAGCATTAACTTCTTGTCGTGAAAGAACATTTTGCTAACCGAATTGCAGTCTCACTTTGGTATTCTGCGCTCAATTATCTCTCATCACGCATTGTATTCAGCTTTGTCCTCAAAGTCTCGTTACCACCAACTCCACCCTCCCGTTCACCATCACGAATCACCAAGATGAACGCGCCTGATCGGTAAGATGAATTTGCCCCTTTGTTTTTGTGACATTGGGAAGTAGCCTAGGTCTGCCTGGTCGGATGACGGACTCGAGATGGCTTCACATTGTCATGATTCCCGTCAGGCTTCCTCTCACGTTGCCCTCGAGGAGGTAGCCGTGGTCTTCTCCGGGCTTCCTTGCCGGACTCTGCCAGAGGCGCCTTCACAAGGCATGGAACTGCATCTTCACATCTCTACCCTATATTTCAACATCGTTCCTATTTTCCCAAACACACAGTCTATCGCATCACTGCTTTCCCAGGCATATCAAGACTCCAAGACTCCAGAACCACCCTCTCTCAACGCATCTGAGCCACATCATGTCTTCCCAATCTGAGAACCTTCCTCCTCGGCGCGTCTCTTTTCAAGAAGATGGAACTCGGAAATTGAACTAACTCTTCCATAGTTTCGAGCTCTTCCTGCTCGGTGAAGGCGAGAAGAAGATCGAGGAGAATGTCTTCTCTGGTACGCTTTGCACGCCCTTCAATCATCTCTCTAGCCATTCGGCCAAGCTAAACGCTTCCCAGGCATGTCCAACACGTCCGACTTCGTCATCAAGAAGGAGGACCACACTCTCGGCAACCTCCTGTCCGAGCACCTGAAGATGCACAAGAACGTCCTGATGGCGGGCTACAAGAGTAAGACGCATTGCCCTTCGACAAGCGTCACGCATACTAAACTTTTGTCACAGTCGCGCATCCAAACGTCCCCGAGATGTTCATTCGAGTCCAGACAGACGGCACCATCACCGCCAAGGACGCCTTGGTACAGGTCATCAAGAAGCTCATGCAGGACCTATCCCACCTCAGTCGCGAGTTTACTCGTGAGTTCGAGCTTCGTCGCATGGTCGAGGCCGGCCGTTCGAATCAGCAGGGCCAGTAAGGCGGACATACTTGAGACGATGGGTTACATCTCGCGTGGGATTTTTCCTCTGGGCGTTAGGCGGATAAGGTCATTACGGAATAACGGTCTGATACCGAAGTTTGGCATGGGGAATCGTCATATTGGTTTTCGCATTCCGGGCTGAGATGGGGCCTCGGATTAGAAAAAGTTGATCATTGCGCATTACGTCGTCAATTTCGCGATGCTTTGAAATGCTCTCTACGTGACAATTTTGATGTGTTTGCCCAGTTTCGCCTTGAGGCCCTCTTTCGTGCTTTACCCTTGGGTAGCGAGCCAACGCCTTCAGCTGTCATGGCATTTCTCGTATCACCTCTGGTGCCTCCCTCATGCGATCCCTTAGGTTATAGAAATCATGAACCTAGTCTGTCTATGATCTTGAGGAGCGGCTATCTCTGCTCAAATTCGTCCCTTGTCCAAACTTCTTCATGCGGACACCGGACCCTCTCCTCCAGGAATGAGCTGCTCATCATCAGTCTCTCTCCCCCTCTCAGGAAAGCCCAATGGGAAACACGTACCATGCAAATGTTGTTGCCGTTCAGCAGGATCTTGGGAAGCTTTGTGTGGTTGCCAGAGTAGTCGCTAGCCCGTAGTCAGCAGGGGTATACGCTTCCGTCAAAACGGCCACGTACAATTCTGTCACGTCCTCCAACACCATGTCTGTTTTCCTCGTTAGATATTTCCGGCAAATGAGTAGCTCAATATCTGAAGTTAACTTACTGACGTAGTCATCGAAACCCAGGAGCGTGCCGCTGAATTCTGCCATCCCTTCGAGTCAGCAGTTCAGTTTCAATCGAGCCCATGATGGTCGGCCGTACCCTTGTCACCCTTCATAACAACCCAGATCCTCGATCCAACACATTTGTCGATAAGTTCTATCTTTGTCAGTTTCGATGATCTGCATTCATGGGCTTGTCCACTCACCCAGAGGGAGCAGCTGCGACGCCATTTTGCCGTTTAAATATTAGAATCTGGGGGAGATTCTGAATTGTTTACGTTTGAAGTCTCCTTATAGTGGTTTCGCAGGGATTAAAGTCGTCAAATGAAATGATGGTCGTTCCGATACACCAAACAAAGATTCCTTGCCAGACCAAAACGTCGATGCTCAAGATGATGGACGTCGTGCACTTCGGCCGGAGGGGTGAGCGTAAAAGCCCATGTCAGGTGACTGCGCGATGAGCTGTGAATGACTAAGCTGCATCACCCTGGAGCTCCCAGCTGTCGCTGCCACCAACTGGGCGCGTATCACCCACAAAGCCTACTCTGTACTTTAATTGAACCCCTCCATCATTCACGACGCGTCTGCCTGAAGAATACCGTTCTTCACTTTGTCGCGCCAATGCCCGGTGGCAAATATGGCGCTTCACTCCCCCCTCAAATGCACCCGCGAGCAGCGGTGATGAGATTTCCTAGACGCAACAGTTCTATTCTATATAAGTCTCGACTTTTGCCGAGGTCGGTGCTGGTCCAAACGTGTGTACACCCTTTATTGAATTGCAAGTTGTCCTTGGCTTTTGACTGACAGGATCGACGACGCGCAGACGTTTCAAATCAACAATGTATCCTTCTTCCTACGCTAGACTATGGAATCCCGTTCGAGGCATCGTCTTCGGCCAAGCGGGTCAGAACGAGACATCCCATCCGCGAGTGGACATGTTGCGTTCTCTCCACACCACGACGCCAGACAACAGCCACACCGCAGTCGCCGCGAGATCGAATGACGAGACTATCGACTCTGACAGCGATGACCTGCCTTTCTACACCGCCCCTGAACACCAGCCCGCGTTAGACAACGTGCCCACTGCCCCCACGCTCCAAGCAGATACCGCGGGGGGTCCGAAGGAGGGCAAGGTTGAGGCCAAGACGACGGCGGCCACAGAGCCAGCAGAACCCCCGCAAACAAATTTAGACTTCAAGATCCCTCTGCCGGCATTTCGGAAAGCCCAGGGAGCTAAAGAGAACACGGGAGACTCATTCTGGTCTTACACACTCTTTCGAGGACCCTCAGTAGACGGGGCTGAGCAAAAGGTCAAGGTGCACTACTGCAAGACCAAACACACCATGGAGAGAGTGTGTCAATACTTTGTGAATGATTCAGTCCTTGGGTTCGATCTGGAGTGGTTTCCGGACGCAAAGAAGACCTCGGGTCCGAAGAAGAATGTCTCCTTGATCCAGATCGCCAACGAGAGTCGGATCGCTCTGTTTCATATTGCCTTGTTTCCCACCGACGACTTTGTCGCTCCGACGTTCCAGAAGATTATGGAGGACTCGGATGTGCGGAAGGTCGGCGTGAACATCAAGGGCGACTGTACGCGGATACGAAATAACCTAAAGGTAGATACGAGGGGAGTCTTCGAGTTAAGCCACTTGTATAAGCTTGTGAAGTACTCAGCAAGCGGTGAAGTGGGACTGATCAACAAGAGGCTCGTACCTTTGGCTACAATGGTCAAGGAACACCTCGGCCTTCCCATGTTCAAGGGACAGGATGTCCGGTCGAGTGACTGGTCCCAGTCTCTGAACATGGACCAGCTGATGTGTAAGTGCTTGCGGAACCTTTCCCCTGTTGCTAGCTAATTCTGCCTAGACTCTGCTTCGGATGCCTATGCCGGCTTCCAGCTATTCCATGTTCTCAATGGGAAGCGCGTGAGCCTCGATCCCACTCCTCCGCTCCCGTATAATGCTGAGCTTGGCCTGAGCATTCGGTTCGCAGACGGGGTCACCCTCCCAACGGCAGAAGAGAATACTGAAGCTGTGGAGGCTGACCCGCGCAACATCTCAGCACCTCTGTCAGCCACAGAGTGTCAAGCAATCAGGGACAGTCTCGAAGTTGAGGCAGATGGCGAGGGTCAATCAATCGCCGAGAGCGTTAGAGCCGCCAAATCGGCTACTCCGACCCAGAAGCGCCAGAAGGACGCTAGGGTCGTTGCTGCCGATGAGAAGCTGGCTAATTACCGTACTACCATCAAATCCCTTCGCGCCTCACCTTCCGCGGTACGATCCTACTTCATTTGGAACGATAACGATGACCTCACGCCTGAGGCCGTTGCCAAGGTCCTCCGAGACCCGCCGCTCCAGACGAACACGGTGGTTAGCTATATTCTGGAGGCTCTCAAGTTGGAGAAACTGCCGTTCGACAAGAAGCGGCTACGAAACGAAATTCTGCACACGCTGCCGAAGGAGGTTCTGCAGGGCAGGTACAAGGCTTTGATGCTGGAGGCTCAGAAGCCCGATACCGGGGCCCCTTCTTCGTTTGCTTGAGGTGAGCGCTAGCTACCGATATGAAAAGGGTAGCATGGCGAGTCCATGAACCAAGAAAATACGTTGTTTAGTTCAGCATTGGATTCATGCATAATAGAGATACCCGCATTGGTTACATTCACCTCCTCCGAACATACTCAGTCTTCGCAAAGATTCAGCAGTCCGTGAAAGTCACGAAGGATGCAAAGTGGACGCGTCAACTCTTCGCCAATCGCCGAGCCGCACGTCAGCCACAGCCGCCCCTGCATGTTTCGAAACACGAAATAGGGTAGGCTCTTTTAATTGGTGCCTCTTGCTTTGTCTTCGTGATGTCTTGTCGTCCATGGTGTATTCCACTGTAACAACACGCACCCGCCCTTGATGGACCCTCATCGATGGTTGACTTGTAGGCACCAAAGACGGATCGGCTCATCAACAAGCACCGTCCGTTGTAGTCGATGGCCGAGCGGTACGATTCTGGTAAAGAGGCGCTATGTTGTCCTACATAATGCCATGGATAGCTTGTAGTTTTTACGCACAATAGGTTATGGGTTGGAGTCGACTTTTATCGACTTTTTGTTCTGTTTTTGAGTCACAGATGTTTGTTTATTGTCATTATCTTTTTAAACCATCTTTCTTGAGTTGACTAATCAGGCTTTATATGGATGTCAGTGAGCTTCTTTTGGAGGGGGCAACAGCACAATACAGGAGTCGCGCTGTTCATTGCCGTTACCTGGGTGACGTGATGAGAAGTTACACGACACGGCAGATCTACCCTGTCGTCATTGTCGTCGTCGTCGTCGCCGCCGCCGGATAGGTGCGGAGGCAATTGTTCGTGTTGCGAATTGTGTATGAACGAACCATTGGTCAAAAAGAAATGCGTTGGGAGTGAAGACCGCAGATACAGAGGGAATAAGAGATTGAAGCCACACCGAATTTCCATGTCCTTGTGTTCAAGTCCATCGTAGTTCGACCCAGGTCATCTACTCGGGCCGGGAGGCTGTATTCGCAAGTAAGCACGGCAGGATACCTTGGGGGGTACTGTATCACACCACACCGGCAGATGGATGAATTAGGTGTTGGTTGATCTCTCTCATCACAGCCACAATCTTGCGCAACACGATGCTACGTCGTTGGCACTATCAATCTACTGCTGTCAGCGCCTGTTCCAAGGCTTTTGATTTTAAGGCCTTGTTTCGTCACCTCTTTTCTATTTGCCGCTTTCTTCAGTCATGGTGTAAGAAGAACCGTAATTTTCTACCCCGTTTCCACGAGGGCTCGCGTGCAAGGCAAGGATCAATGTATGTGTGGGACAAAGGACATGTTCGGCCGAATTCAAATTGCCGTCATTGTTTGTAGAGAGTACATGCGAGATGCAGCAGGCAACATGGCACGATACGAGATGAACTACACGTGTGGTGGCGAATGGGTTGATATGTATGCTTTGGGAGCATGGGAGACGCCAATTTACTACCTGGCCTTGAGAAATGTGCCGCGGTGCTTGAACACAAAAATACTGCCTGGGCCGTTGCCCTCTTACAAATTGTAACCCTCTTTGACGATTCACCTTTAGTTGAGATCTCAGGGAGATGACAAGCACAAGATTAACAATACCCGAAAATACTGGGACAGTTGCCAATCGTGGAAGCAGATGTAAAGGAGATCCTGAAGATCATAGAACAGCGAATGCGAAACAATGCTCATATAGTATAAATGGGTTCAGACGAGCAAGTGTTCCTGTCCAG